CACACACACACACACACACACACACACACACACACACACACACACACACACACAAAAAAAAAACCTAAATCTCAGTCAATGTTAGTTATTTACCTAAAATCTGCTGTGGTACTAGCTGAAAGTGACCTTAGACATCTTGTCACTAACAGATTGTTCAAGATCTTGAGTTAAAATCTGCCCATAACTACAGTGTTTGGAGTCATCTATCTGTTAGCAAAATATCTCATGTACCACTGAACAGATTATATTGAAACTTTAAGGAAGTAATCACTGGATGTAGATCAACAACTGATTATTGTATGGAGTCACTGCAGTTCAAGGTGGCTGCCACAAGTAATCAACCGTAGTCAGAATAAGAATGGCTACAACTCACTCAGTTTTACAGTTATGGAGCTGAAGTTTAACGCGGTCATAACTGAGAGTCATACTTGCTCATGTTCTCTCACCACGCAGGCCGACTACGAGAGCAACGGGGGAATCATGAAGAAGCTCGCCTCCATCAAAGAGGATGAGGAGGGATCGGGCTCTGAGGGCGAGCGCTCTCCTCTCCCCAAGATACCGACCCTGGGCAGGTTAGGCCGTGGTTTGCGCTCCCCCCTGCGCTCCCCTCTTCGCTCTCCGCTGCTGCCACCCCGCCCATTCAGATCGATGAGCGATCAGAACCGACCCACCAGCCTGCAGATCCCGGTGGTGAGCGTCAGCTGCCTGCAGCCGGACCTCAGCCCTCGGTAGGTTCATTTATCTGCCAGGAAGTCGTTTTATTTTTATTTATCTCAAACGTGCTGTGGTTTGGCAGATTGTTTGAAATGAGTTTAGTCACTTTGCTGCCCTGAAGCATACAGGTGTGTTTTAACACAGCGTCATGGCAGACAGACATCAGCAATAACCTTAGAGAGGCAATTGTTGCTACTTAACACAACCTTGATTCCAAACACAGCTGTGAATCTACAACATGACTTAAAAATAGAAGAATTAATATGTTTTTAAAATGTTTTAAGAGAGCTGTTCAAAAGGAATAGACCTGAACTCATCTACAACCATGTGAGAGACTGATAAAGTCCTGTAGAAAACTGTTACTTAGATGTACTGCTAATTCCAAGGCCAGGTGAGTTAAGCCAGGTACACACCGGAGGCGTTTTGAGCAGCAGGAGCAGCCAGTTTACATGCAAAGTCTTTAGTGGACGTGCATCTAGGGGCAGCGTGGCGCATTTAGCACAGCGCCCTTTGAATTGGTAGGTGTGGTTTGAGAGCTTCCCGTGCATACGGCGCATCCAAAGCAGCCAACACTCAAGTTAAAAAAACTGAACTTTTGCGGTTCGATGCGCTGCATCAACCAATCAGAGGGAATCATTTTTCCACGTGACGATTTCCTGAATGTTGCCCACTAAACCGAAACAGACGGACAGGAGCTCTTCAGCTGAAATCAACCGTCTGTAGTTGATGTTCTGGCAGGAGATATCAGCACCGACGTGGGTCAGCGGCTCGTTATACTGACCGCGGTCTTAAATTGGGCTTGGGACAAAAAATAGTTCATCAGCTCGCAGCTCCTGGAGTGGTGAAACTAACAGAACAAACCGCCTCTAAATTATCTGGTGAATTAATTATCAGGTGAGCGCAAAGTTCGCTTGCTCTTCAGTAAATAAAGCAAAGCCATTTTCTTTATTTCATCTGCCATTAAAGACAGACATACTGTACATGTATATATATATATGTATATGTATATGTATATGTACATGTATATATATATATATATATATATATATATATATTTACCTTGTCTGCATAAATCAAATCCGTATTATCGCACTGTTTTTATTTAGGCTAATTGTTTTTACAGTGACGGCAGTGCGTTTTGAATGACAGCTGCCTTCCTCTCTCTCCTCCTCCCCAGGCAGGGACAGGAGAGGCAGTCCGAGGCATTAATGTTGCAAGCTACATCCACTGCATAACATTCAAATTTTTATTATTTTCTTTCTCTCTCTTTCTTTCTTTCGACTTTTTGTAAGGTGATCAAGTTGAAAGCGCAATAGTGTGTGTGTGTGTGTGCAGGTGCGCCGCGTTGGGTGCATTGGGCTTTGAGGGACAGAAGTGCTGTTTTTGTGATGGGCATCGCACTCATGTGGTCTTTTGTTGGTTAGGACCCGGTTGTTAGGTGCCTGGTGTAACGTTGTTATTTTGTGTGCTACACACATTGCGCCCATGTGGTGTGTATTTTTGTGGGTCAGGTGCGGTGATGGTTTTGTGCTTACCCTCGGGTGAAATCAGGCGCCCCTGATCTGGCCCACCCATTTTTTCTCAGGCCCGACCTAAAATCAATTTCTAGCTACGCCACTGCGTCGACTGTCATAAAAAAAATCGGACACTGTGGAATTTGTTGTGTTTTAGTTCATTCGAGGTTAGACATGATTCATCCTGATTCTAGAATCTAAAGAAAAAAAAGTTGACTTTCTCTTTGAATAGCCTGAGTTCGAACAGAGTTTAGTCTTGACCAAATGAATAATTGAAGTTTTCACTTTCACAAGTGGAGCCTGAGAGTGAGTGAAAGCAGCAGAGATTACCTCCTGCTGCGGCCGGGCTGCTGATTGTAATGCAGGTGTGAGCAGCTCCTCTCCAACAGTCCATCATCTGCTGTCGCTGGGCGACCTTCGACCTGCCAACTGCTGACAGCTGGAGGCTCTCTCTCTTTGTAATGATGCGTTCGCAGGCAGGTGCAGGGAATCTCTGACATGTTTTGAACTTTGTCGTGTTTTTAGACAACAGATCAGACCAGCAGGAGTTGGAGAGAGAAAAAAGACTTGATTTTAGAGCTGAAATACTTTGAAGATGAGGTTTAAGATTTTGTTTCTATTCAGGTTTGTCTTCTTGTTTTCTGCCAGCCTTACACGTGTTCAGATCTATCTTCCTATTTGTCTGTTTTTTTTTCTTTTTTCGTACCTCGTATAGGGCTGCCATGATTAGTCGATTAGTCGACGACTAATCGATTATTAAAATAATCGATGACTAATTTAATAATCGATTAATCGTTTTCTTTTTTTGTTCTTTACTTT